TTATATGACTGATAGACACGAACAGTTAGACCTAAAAATATCAAAATTGAAAATACTGCGAAAACAAAGACACCTACATCTTGGATGCCCTTGAGGTAAGCTAAACATATCAAAAATTAATTTCAAAGTGAACTATCCCTTTAAGTTGTTATCAGATGTCTGATTCTTGTATTTTCGCACTCAGTGATTCACTTACCAACTTCAACGGTGGGGAAGATTCTCAGTGAATTACAAATTAATTTCTTATCTTCCCACAAAGCTATCATATGACTTCAAAAGAGTTGCAATGAACTTTATATGCCCCATATGAAGTTTAAAAGCTCCAGTCTCCATTGATTTTCATTACTTGGAAAAGAGCGACCAGGACATTCTTCAAAAATTCACATTTCGCATTTCTCTCGGAACAAAGACGGTCATATGTGTTTGAAACGAGCCGTGGTGTGCGCGTATCCGAGGAAAACACATGCGTTATCATTTGAAGCCGTTCGAAACGATTCCTTTAAAATGTATCAGAGGCACATGAGCTCAAATGCATTTGACTAAATATAACCCAGTCATTCCAGATTGCTCTGTGGGGATGACTTTGACACATCAACTATACCTCAGATGACCCCTGAAATTCAATCGGCTGCAAAGTGAGAGACAGACGGGCCAATCTAGCAAAGTAAGGAACGTTCTGCTTAATAATTAACGCAACAAGAGATACATTGCTCTTGTTTAACCACTGTTTATTCAGTGGGCCAGATCGTTGAAGTCACAACGTGTTCCCGGTGAGTAATTCTCAGTGTGCCCTCACCCTCACTGTAGATGCAAGTCACTTCCTGTGCAGCGAGATGAGCGTGACGGACGAGTTTTAGGAAATCGGACGTCATAAGCACACGAGACAGATGGACGAGCGGTCGCCCCCTTAGGCCGAAATCGTTTAAAGGCAAATCGCTTCTATTCCGGTCTCAAATAAAACCCCTTTAATAACATTTTTATTTCTGCTCTGCGAAGGATGCGATAAAGCCCTTCTCCGTCGGGAGGGTAGAGGAGGACAAGAAAGCTGTGATGTGCTGGCCTGCTTTTCCAGCCTGCCCGCCAGTGCATCGGTCCAGAGACACAAGTGAGTTTTATTTTAGGAGGCTTTTAAGTAGGTCAGCTCTCTAGTAGGTCTCGTCTATGACAGCACAGCGGCTGAGTGTAAACAACAGCACATGATGTTGTTTGTCTCTCGCTCTGTCCTGGCACCAAATGCCACCAGCTCCCCCTGTCCCACGGGTCTCCCACAATCCTCTTTTCCATTTGCAACCCTAAAAACCTCAGAGAAGCAGGCCATTCACCTCTGACATTCTCACATATGCTGGCATTTGAGGACAAACGTCTTGCTTAAAGGCTGAGTCAGAATTAACACTCAAATGCATGTAAAAACAGCCTATTAAAAATGAACACTAAGTTACTCACCAGTTGGCTTCTTTGTGCAATGGGGAACTGACAAGAGTGATTCAAATCAAAGACATACAAACAAGCTAATAAAAAAAAACTAGGGACACACAATATATCAGGACTAAAGGTTATCCGCAGCTATAAGAGATTCTATATTTAATTATTGTATCGTACTATTTTCACCTTTAAATGATATTTTGCTGTAATATACACTGTATGTTATATATTATTTTGATGCATAAGATCACTAGTAGCATTTCAACTGATTTTAGTGTTTTAATTTTTAATGTATTTAGAAAATAACATAAAATGTTAATATTGGACACTTCGTATTTATTGGCAAAATAAAGAACAAAAAAGAACGAAAATGATCAGTTTTGACTCCTTATTCATTTATGTATTACATTAGTGGAGAATTAACCATCAGAAGGCTTTAGATGTTAGTTTTTTAATTTTCTTAGGAACTCTTAGGAAAATATGTGGAATATTCCTTGTATTGTGACACCAAAACAAAATATAAGGAGACAAAACTGCCACAACAGAATGCACGGATCTTGAAACACATATTCAGTGCTGAACTACTTTTAATCATGTAATTGATTTGATTAAAAATTCTAATTGATTGACAGCCCTATATTTTTAAAGTTAATTTTTTGGGGGAATTTTTGCCTTGATTGGAGAGAACAGTCAAAGAGAGAGAGGAAATATTATATTAGAGTAAATATATTATTATATATTATTATATATAATACTATATATTAGAGCTCTGTCCACAAGGAAAACAGTTTCACAGCCAGTAAAAAACACTTCTGGTTGGTCTTAAAGGAGTAGTTCACTTTTAAAAAAAACTTTTGCTGATAATTTACTCACCCCCATGTCATCCAAAATAACCATGTCATTCTTTCTTCAGTCGTAAAGAAATCAAGGTTTTTGATGAAAACATTCCAGGATTTTTCTCCATATAATGGACTTCAATGGGAACCAAATGGTTCAAGGTCCAAAAGACACTTTCAGTGCAAACTGCAAACTGTTCGAAGGGCTTTACACGATTCCAGACGATGAATAAGGGTCTTATCAAGCGAAACGATGGCTCATTTAAAAAAAAAAAAAAAAAAAAAGAAACAGTTCTGTTTCAGTTCAGTTCTGTGCTCTGTTCTGTGATGCGCGTTTGTGACTCTCCTGTTCGAACTCGTTTATCAAAATGAACGAATCTTTTTTGTGTCATTTGGTTCATTCAACCAACAAAATGAATGAATTGACTCAGAAAAAGACCTTTTGGACCTTGAACCATTTGGTTACCAGTAAAGTGCATTATATGGAGAACAATCCTGGAATGTTTTCATCAAAAACCTTAATTTCTTTTCGACTGAAGAAAGAATTACATAGACATCTTGGATGACATGGGGGTGAGTAAATTATCAGCAAAAGTTTTTTTGTTTTTTTTTAAAGTGAACTACTCCTTTAATGCATTGAAATGAAATGCCTGCTTCAAATGGAAACAAGGCCCTAGTTTTTCTTTACCGTTTGGATATATACTGTAGGAAGGCTATCTTGGCTCCGTGGCATACTTCAAATTTGAAATGTAAAATTGTAGCTTGGTTAAGTCCAGAAAATGAACGCAAGTGATGAAAACATCTCTCACTTCAGCGAGTGATGGCTGGTGCCCAGCAGTAAAAAGGTTTTTTAAAATGGATGAGCTATGTCCTCACCTCCTCTCGACTAAATGTGCAGCCAAACTGAAACAGAGAGCGGGATGTTTACAAGTTTGGGAGAGAAGGTATAAAATTCTGGGCATCATTAACACCACCTCTATGTCGACATGCATTAAGAATTTATACAGTTTGTGCCACAGCGAGTTACAGTTACATGCCAACGTTTTAGAGAGGGTTATCATCTTTCTCCCTGTGGAACACAGGCGACAGATATTGCACCCTCATTGTAGTTGCATCGATGTGCACCACTGTACAAAAAGTAATAGAAACCGATCCTCTGATCCATCAGAAATTCAGAGATTTTATGAGCTGGCTGCCATGGAAACATTTAGCGCCTCAAATCCACGCAGATGACAAAAGTATGGCACCTTGTTTTAATTAGGACTCAACCTTTATATAGACTCAACATGTGGATCATTAGCCCCGTGAAACGCTTTTATACCCAGAGAGCAAATTAATTAGTGCAGTCTGGAATACCTGTGACAGACTGTATCCTCTGATAGTAGTGTCATATGCCAATAAGTACCAGGTGGAAATGTTATTGAAAAGTGTGCTTGAGTTATCTCCGACAAAGAAATGCCACTTTGTTTGGCTTTTTTTGTTATTTAAGCAGTGACATTTAGAAATTTTAAATCACGGCTTAGTGTTCTTTCTGGGACCGCTGTATATAGATTCAGGGACATTTGTGGCATTTTCTCACTTTAGTTTTATTGATATAAATAGTGCATTGAGGACAAGAAAAGATGTGGGAATGGGATCAGGAAATGTCACAAGCTGCACTCAAACTGACTATGGCAGTTAAACCACAAAAACACACACACAAAATGTATAATTACACATCAGTCACACATTCTATTCGAGTCTAAATACATTTCTGTGAGAAACAGACTGAAATTTATGTCGCTATTCCCTCCAGTGAGCTGTTAACTCAAGAACTGCAGTGACTGGATCATTGATTCAGTGAGCTGAAGTCATCAATCAATCAATGAATCATTCAGCCTGATTTGTGGCTCATTCATTCAGTCCGATTGGATCATTGAAACTGGATCAAAAGAACGACTTGTTTAGATGAATCAGTTCTTGAGTTCAACTCACTGAATCAAAGATCCAGTTGCAATGGTTCTCGAGTTAACAGCTCACTGGAGGGGAAGATGAATTGGATCATTTCTGGCTGTTCCTCACATAAAGCTATCATATTGCGTCTGAAGAGTATGACGTGAAAAAATAACAGGGTAAAAACAAAGTAAATAATGACAGAATTTTCATTTTCATTAGACTAGTTGCACGCCTATGCTTCAATGTGTCCTGACAGAGTACACTGGGGTATGCAGCAGCAAAAACAAGTCTACACAATATACCATGACATGCCAACCCCTATCAGAGCACGCTATTTTCCTCACCTAAAATATGATTATTAAAATGTCTGTAGTACAACTGAAACCTAACCTTGCAGTCATCAGATGTCAGTAAATATGAATATTTGACAGGAGGGTGGCAGCTGAGCGCTGTTGGCGTGTTAATGAACGTGCCAGAGAGTCAATGACTCACAGGCTCTGGTAACTCAGTACAGTCGCTCTAATAAATGTACGTGCCATGTTTAGACAAAGTGATGGAGATTGGTGAAACATGGCACTACTGCTGTGCCACAGCGGTGTGCCGCCCTGCCCTGTAACAGCACATATTATTGGCTGAAATTTTAGAGGGCATCGCTGCTGAATTATAGAAGACCATTTTTGATAGGGTCATAAACATGATTGCTACTTGTACACGCATGACGCATCTCCACTTTACGGGTGTTTTTTTTCCATTGTGGTGAACTAGTGTTATTTAAAGAAGTGGCTTGTGGTTAGATGAGGCTTGTACCTGTGTGAGTCTGCCGATGTGCTTCCAGAGCATCTTCCTTGGAAAATTGAGCCCCACACTGATCACATACCAATGCTTTTGGTCCAGCTGGAAGGAAAAAGAATACAATAAAAGTAATCAGTTGGCTAATAGCTTTATTACGAATGGCAATATCACACAGTGTCATTTTAGTATTATATACAGTATGTAAATTATATACATATTAGGGGTGTAACAATATATCGTGCCACAATATATCGCAATACAAAAATGCAAAAAATACGTATTGTGGATAGTGACAATATGTATTGTGGATAGTCCCCCAAAATAAAAATGATTATGTGAGAAATTTTTGTGTAAGTAATACATTAAACTACTACTATATAATGTTGATTATAATGTATAATAATGCAATGGGGGAATATTTGTGGGTCAATGCCAAATATCTGAAAAGTGGCTGAAAACATTATTTTAAATATATCTAGCCAGTAAAAGAGTGCAAGCATATTCATCTAAAATAATTCTGTATTTTCAGCTCCAAGTCCAAGCCTATTCATTTAAACCCACAATGTAATATCAAATTTAGCATTTTAGCAAATTAACATTTTTTATTTATTTAAATTTAGCAAATTTAGCATCAGTACATTTTTTGTTAACCTTTAACCATATGTCTTGGAGTATTGTAATAATATTGTGTATCGTGAGTTCAGTATCGTGATATGTATCGAATTTAAACCCACAATGTAATATCAAATTTAGCATTTTAGCAAATTAGCATTTTTTATTTATTTAAATTTAACAAATAGCATCTGTACATTTTTTGTTAACCTTTTAACATATCTCTTGGAGTATTGCAATAATATTGTGTATCGTGAGTTCAGTATCGCGATATGTGTCGAATTTAAACCCACAATGTAATATCAAATTTACCATTTTAACAAATTAGCATTTTTTATTTATTTAAATTTAGCAAATAGCATCTGTACATTTTTTGTTAACCTTTTAACATATGTCTTGGAGTATTGTAATAATATCGTATCGTGAGTTCAGTATCATGATATGTATCGAATCGTGACATGAGGGTATCATTACACCACTATTACATATAATGTGTGTGTGTTACAACTGACGTGGTAATTCACAGAATGACGACGATGAAGATTAAATATTAACTTGTTTAATGCACACGAAGGGAATACATAGATGAAGGCATCGCAACGCAACATAAACTACTCACATAAGACGAGAACCGACAATGAACTGAGACAGGGAGTATAAATAAAATACACAGAGAAACTAAATAACAGACAGCTGAGCGTTCTTTCCCCATTTATCACCATGTATTTGAAATATGAACGCATGTTTATAAAAGGAAACCTGTACGAAATCAGCTTTTTTAAGCTCATGTTTAAAAAAATCAAACCATAAAATGAACTGAAAAGAAAACAGAAACGATGCCGAAGGCTGAAATTGTGTTATTTCAAAGAATGAGTTGTTTATGACATTAAACGTCATTCATCTCCCCCACACACACATCAACAGGGTAACATACTCTCCCTTGACAGAATCAAAGAGATGTTCTTATCTACAAGGGCTGGCAGCTTTCTCTTGTCTTGTCTTGATAAAAGTCTGTAAACCATAAGCTGAGGCAGAACAGACAGCAACATGTCCTAAAGGATATTAAAACCCTTTGTATCTTCAGACTGATTTATGACATGTACAACGAGTCTCTTCTTACAAACAAAACACTATATCCATTTATTATGTGTTCGTAGAGATAACAGTAAAAAATGATAATCATATAATAGTGAGGGTCATATCAGGTTGACGTACCCTCAGGCAGGTACTGCTCATTTCTTCCTTTAAAAGCTGATTTTGATCAACCATAATTTATTTATCAAAGCTAAGGTTGCTTTCTTCAAGGTGAATCTCACAAAGCCTGTCAAGCCAGTTATATTACATACTCCCCTTTAAAAGTTTTTGGTCAAAAGTCTTTTTTTTTTTTTTTTTTTTTTTTTTTTTTAAAGAAGCCTCTGCTCATCAATACTGCATTAGTTTGATTAAAAAAAAATTGTGATCACAAGTTATAGAGGCAGTTTTCTATTTTTAATATATTTTCAAATTTAATTTAATTTTCAACATCCATTATTTCAGTTTTCAGTGCGATTATTAAGAAATTACTTCTGTAATTTAACAATGTAAAATATATTTGTTTGTGTATGTTTGTTTCTAATTATATATATATATATATATATATATTATAATGAATAAAATCTAAAAATATAAATACAATGTAAATAAATATTCACATTTCCCCACCAATTCTAATTGCTATAATGCATGTTTTACTTTTGAATTTGTTTGTAATTTTCATTATTCTAATCACCGTATTACAAGAATATCTTGTCTGGGCACAATGAAGGCTGTGCATTATGTACATTAAGTACTAACATAACTTATACATTTAAACAGTATAATTGTATTTTTTTTTTTTTTTTTTTTACATATTACGTTAATGGAAATTCAAATTTTTCACATTAAGATAAAGCGAAAGGGTGCTTAATTATCATGAAAATAATGTCAAAATGCAAAATCTTAATGGTCCTAAAAATAGGCGATGGAAAAATCCCCCCATTGAGACGTCATTAAACATAACCTACACAGATGCAAATACATTTACAAGGTGTATAAATGCACACTCTCACACACACAAAGAATGAAAAGAATCATTTAACCCAGTTGCAACCACCGATCCTTAATAACTGGACTAAATAACTGTTCTGATGGCCATCAACCGCCTGAGGGAATCCATCTATTATTAGTATTAGATCCACCTGTGGAGACGCTGGCCCATTATGAAGTAGGCCAGGATGTTTCCATCACTTTAGAAACACTTTCAATAAACCACACACACTCACCGAACAAGGAGAAATGGACGGCTGACGTTGCTTTTTCTGAACAATTCATTAGGGACAAGACCTCAAAAAGAGAAGTGAACAATGTCTTCCATTCACCACACATGGCTTGGACACAACACAACCAGCGGTTCTGCCAGCAGGCTCTCACCATTTCCTGCAGACTTTATATCTCAGACTCACAGGAATAAAAGAAAAAAACCCCAATAAAATCCGAATGTATAATGAGCATCGGCTCATCAAGTATCTATTTTCACTCAGCTGGCCCGAAATGGCTTTATTATGACTCATTAAAGCACCCACAAGCTTCATGAAGTCAGCCAGCTAGCACCTAAAATTAGCCTCTTTTCACATACACTTTCTTCTCGGTCCTTCTGGACGACAACCAAAGCCCTTTAAAGTTTAAAAACGCTCTCATTTACAGAATCGTTACAAGCCACGCTGAAAAATACTTCGATGGTGGTGTGACTCATCAGCGCCAGTGTAAATTGCACCTGTGAGAACATTTCATGTGCAGCGTGAATTAAAATGCTCTGTTTTCAGTTCATTGTCTTATTACTGAAGGATAGTAGCTATGCCCTGAATTCTAGTGAGCTATATATAGACAGCATTTCAACATATCTGATTTGTTCTGTTGTGATGCTGACAGGCAAGGTGAGGCGGGATTCTCTCATATGTCTCCCCTCGCACATGTTTCCAAACGCTCAGCAGCACACATTTAGAAACCACAAAGCAGATCCCACATTCAACCGGCTTGTGTTCTGTTTCAGACGGCACAATGCGCACTGTTCCCATGATAAACAGCCCAAACAGCCTCCAGACTGGCTGCAATCACCCTCCATCAAAACACTTTGCCTGGCATACAAAAATAAGATTCAATCTCGTGTTGAATACCAAATTAGAGCATTAGAAAACAAGGGCTTCTGCTACTTGGCAACCGTTGGGATGTAAAGCAGCAAAATCCAATGACGGGCCAGAAGATCTAGGGCTTTGATGCGATATAAAGACTGAATTAGATTTTTACTTTTATTTTCCTTCCATTTTACTGGCTTCCAAATTAAAGACTCAAGTTAACGATCATAAATTGTAAGGGGTTTGGATGTCAACACTGAAACACTAAACGTTATTTATCTTGTAATTTGTGAGAGTAATAGGTCACAATGGAAAACAATCATGAAAATAATAGAGGCAAAAATGGCAAAATATTAAAGCAGCTCTATATACTACAGTATATAAACACAGCAGGGTGGTTTAATGCCTTTTAAAAACAGCCTTCTGTCAATATCTGTGTCAAAGTACGAAGAAAGGTAATACGTATATGCTGACATCTTCAGGTCCGTGAGGTATGAGTGTTTAAATCCACCTGATAGAAGCCTGAACAGAATGCACTTCCATGAATAAGGCATCACATGGGGTCTGAAACTCTTACAAATTTTTTTTTCAACAAATAAGTCAGCAAAATGAGCTGAACCATGGTAAAATAATAATAATAATACAATATAAATTGCAATAATAATTGTTATATTTATATATATTTTCAACCCTGTTATCAAAATCTAGGATATGAATTTCTAGCAATAAGTAATAAACATCAAAATTAAAAAGACAAAATGTATTGAAATAAAATAAATAAAAAAGATAAGTATAAGTAATAAGTATATATATAGTATATACTTATTACTTATACTTATCTTTTTTATTTATTTTATTTCAATACATTTTGTCTTTTTCATTTTAATATATATATATATATATATATATATATATTAATATATATATCTTTTTAATATATTTATAAAAATACAGCATTCCTGTAAAATACAGTAGCAGGGTTGAAAAGCCTACATTTGAGTAAAATTTAAAGAAAAAAGGTCAGTTTATTTACCTGGGTGTCACAATTCTGAGGAATGTTAGAACTAAATATGACATTTTTGGTAAATAAAATTAGTAAATAATTTAAAATTATTTAATATGAATTTATTTAACACATTATGTCAACATTTGTACAGATTTTAATTATTGGATACGGGCCAAAAAAAAAAAAACGTTCACATTAGCGTTTTAACACCAAACATAAAGAAACTGAACCTAAAGGCATTGGGATATGTTCACAACCTGATCGGTCGGAAAGAACTTACCTAATATCCAAAACTATGCTGTGTGCTGGAATAAATGTGCTTGTTGTATGTGGGTAGCCTACATATGATGATATTTTGACCAGCTGAGAACTGTTGAAGAACTTATAAAAAGTGTAAAGGAGTCAAAACAGCGACACACAAATGAGTAGACGCGGTTATGATGTCTGTACCAAACTGTGATGGCATCATCATGACATGTATCAACATCATGAGTATGATGTCCTTTTTAGGGTCGCATCTTGTGACATCACATCCTGTTTTTGTTTTTTTTACATGTCTTTGGTTCATGCTGCATTCAAATTTCATTCGAACGGCACCAGAGTCCATTTGGAAGCGGGCCGAGACCTTCCTTTTCGGGGTTCTCGGCCCGTTTGTTTTGTGCGCGCGAAGGTTCAGATGGCAGCATTCACACGTATTCAAATAAACCGCCCTAACAGAGCAACCGCAGCAAGGTTTGTTTTAACCCAACCAAACATACCAAGTGTGAACACACCTTTATTTTACAGTCCTGTTCCCCATGCACATGGTAATTACAATAACTAGGTACTAAACCCTGAACCTACGCCTAAACTTAACCTTTCTTTGGTAAGTGCATGTACTGTAAAATCAATTTAACATTTATCGAACACATCTAGAAGATAAGTGACAGCAGCACAGCATACTGTATTGATGGAAAGTGTCAGAAACTGGCATGGAGGCGTATGTACTGTACATGCCCTCGGACGTAACCTTTGAACACTTTGACCACAGTGCAGACGTCTGCTCCATCCCGTCGAGTCGGCCTCTAAGGGCCCGCAGTCAACATTTCTGTTTTCTTTCTGCATTTTTGTTTTATTTAGGACTCCTCCCTCCACCCCAGTGCTCATTCTATTTTGGAGAGCAGTGGCTTGGACAGCAGTCAAGTTTGATTAATTTTGGGATTTGGGTACAGTATGTTCCTGGACACACATCTGCGAGCAATCATAAATGCTCCAGAATGCTGGCAGAACATCCAGACCTGCCGGCAGCTGATGATGTCATCAGTGCGAGGGAAGAGCTGGCGTGTCGCCAAACACAGAGTGCAGGGCTTCTCCCAGACAGAGAGAGAAAAGAGAAAAAGAGACATTAAGAGAAAACATCTTGACAGGGCTTTTCAGCTCGAACGTCGCACATGTTGAAGATTCGCTCTCGTTCATGTCGTGCGTGAACAGGTGCGACACTGGATTACGAGCAGATTAAATGTGGGAGTAACTGAATATTGTTGGCAGGGTTTATTAAATCATAGATTAGGGGGGTTTAAGTTGAGGGGGGGGGCTTTCATAAACACAAAAAAGAGACAGAGAGACAACAAGACATAAAAGAGAAGGAAGGTTTCAGTTAATTTGGAGAAGAGCGCTGTCAGAATCTTGACAAAAATGTGAGCTCTGAGAAAGTCAAGTGAGGTGGGCTTCACAAACCCTCTAGAGAGACGACTATAGACTTAATCAGACAGATGGACAAACACACACACACACGACCACACACACACAACCACACACACACTCGGCTGCCAGTTTGAGTGTATTTCCTCTCCACTTGAAACAGGACATTCCCTCTAAAGCACAATTTAGTGTGGGCAACTACTGAATTCAATAAGCAATCAATCACATTCTAGGATTCCTGATACTGAACCCGGAGCCTTGGCTTGAAGAAGCAGGTTTGAATCCTGCCTGCAACTTGTTTCAATGTCATTCCTCCATTTTATCCCCAAAATGTCCCTTCTCTGCCATCATAAAGGTGACAAAAACGCTTCCTGATACAATTTTTGGAGTAAATATTGTGTGAAATAAGTGTTCTTTTATTGTTGACCTATATCTTGTCCAGGCTGATTTATTGGCTGATATTGTATTTATTCATTTATCTTTCAAGTAAATATTGTGTTTGATAAGTGTTCATTTAATTTGCTAAACTGTAATCGTACGATTAAAATTAGCCTGTATCATATATAAAGTGGAGTCAAATGATCGCTAAAATTGTTATGCTGAGAATATCATTCGTAATTAACAACAAATTTTTTACATTTTTTATTACATTTTGTTATAAAAGTAAGTTGTATAAGTTGCACGAAACATTTTTATATGAAAAACCAATGGGTACACCACATAACACACTCTGTAAAGTAAAGACTGAAAGGGAAAGGAGCTTTAAAATGGAGCTACAATAAAAAACAGGATGACAGCTGGAGAACATAAGCCAAAACACAGAGTTTCAGTACTAAACTTCATTTTGCAGTCTGCTTCTGGTTTATTTTATGTCTACGGTTATGCAACACACCCTTTTGATAACCAAAATCTGACGGCAAAAGATCGAACTTAATAGCACACATCGTCCCTAAACAATACCACAGACTTACATAACATGTAACAGCATCATTTCAACATGATAGCTTAATTAAGGGTTTGGATGTGTATAAACAACTGGATCCGTCCCCTCCCTTTCAGTCCGGCGAGATCCAGTCCAACACCTCCTCATAACAATGAGAAGAAAAAAACAAAAAAAAAACAAGCTGGCAAGATTCACTGTACATACTGTACTAATAATGTGGCAAAATGCCCAGATTGGATCTCTGCCAGGCTTGAAATGTAACTGTTGAGACACATATGAGACTGGAAAGGGAAGTGGGAAGACGGGGATAACCAAACACTGCGTCACTACTAATAGAAGTGCAATGTTCCATCTGTTACATCAGGTTAAGTGTGCGGTACATGGTGGACAAGCACAGGACAACAGGGGGCTGACACTTGTTGCACAACACGATCACATATCACTTGTGCAATGACACTGTAGCCTATGTTTTTATCCTTATCAGGACTTCATTTGCGTGGGATCGTGGTGTTTATGGGGTGAGGTTACCTGAATGAGACAGCATGTGCATCCTCAGTCGTAAACTATCCAGGAACTGCTTTCCACAGAACTCACAGCCAAAAGTCTTCACTCCACCATGCAACTTCCTGTGGATTCAAGACATTTTGAGAGATCAAACACAATTTGACCATTGACCAGCCTAGCCTATTCATTTCCACCCCAATTCCACCCCATGTCTTAGAGTATCGCAAATAATTTCATATTGTGAGATTGCATATTTTAATATGACATGAGGGTATTGGATATACAAGAGTTTATTCGTTTAAATTCGTTCATCACATGATGTGTGCCTACACTGTAAAAATGAATATGTTATCTAATCAAAAAAAAAAAAAGTGGCAAGAGATTACAAGCAATATTATTAATTAAATGTCACAAATTAGAATTAAGTAATAATTAATCAAATTAATTCCTTAAAAGTTAACCATTTAAAATGAGTAAAACTTACAACAACAACCAAAAAAAAACCCCATAAATTTAAGTCACCATTATGGTGATCAGTGTTTGTTTTAGGTTTGATGCATTTCGATGCATTTTTTTAAAATTACAGTTTTCTCCTTCAGTGATTCTGCTTGTTAACATCAGGTGTCTTCAATGTTGGCAATATAAAATAAAGAGTTCTTAATTAAAGGTATAGCGGAGGATCTTTCCGAATTTTAGAGAAGACCCGCCCTCTCCAATTTTTAAAAAAAATGCACATGCACAAACACAACACTCTTGCTCCCGAGAGGGAACGTCTATACGCCTTGCACAATTATGTTGCAAATTCTAAACTAACTAAAAAACATTCATAAAAAAGACAACATGTCAAATGCCCTTCCGTGTTTTATTTACTTATTTATTTACTGATCGATTGAGTGACCGAGGACTCAAGACATGATATGTGCAACCCTGTATGACACGAAATACGTTCTGAGGAAACTATTTTGCAAATCGCAATTACGTTACATAGCAACATATAAGCAGTGCTATTACGTTGGTCCTTAACCTAATATCTCTCATTGTTAATACGTTATTTTTATACATAGTTGCATATGGAGAAGTAGCTTGTTGCATTTGTGTAATAATAAACACACAAGATTTTAGAATATTTCAGCGTGATACCATTTACCATTTTGGACAAAAGGCTACTTTAGACAAATTGAGATGTTTACCGTGTCTATGCGGTGCATGACTCGTGCCAGCATTGTAGCTTGCATTAACTTTTACTAGTGATTTTAAATGGATTTCTCCAAATAGCGTGACAAACTTTACCTGTGTAGTAGAATCTTCGCGACTGCGGCATCAGTGAGAAGCCCAACCTGTGCTTTTAGCGCACGCCAGCGTGTGATATTTACCCAAAATCTCTCTGGTCTTGTTTCTATATTCTGCGGCCTTTCTCTTCTTATCATACACTTAGTAAACATTTTTTCTCTTTCGACCCTCAGCCATTTTCAAAGGAATGGCTGAAACCGTAACTCCGACATAATACACCTGAAAGTGAAAACTACATAGGGATGAGCACGTAGCCTACGACGGCCTTACGTAAACATATCACCAGAATGATTGACACTTATGTGGACCAATAGTATAGACTACCCACCCAGGAAAAAGAAAATCCTCCGCTATACCTTTAATTTTTGACGTCTATCTGTTAGTGAGATATTTTTGTTCATTTTTTTGGTGTAAACTTTACTCATTTTAAATGGTTAACTTTTAGGAAATAATTTGATCAATTATTACTCAAGTTAAATTTAATGAATAATATTGCTTGTAATCCGTCGCCAGACTCGCCACAATTCTATTGATTAGATAAAGCGTATTCATTTTTACAGTGTACATGAATGAGACATGCTGCGAGAGAAAATTTGAACATGAAGTGGAAGTGGAATAAATAAAAGTATTTAGTTGAATGAGCTATTCCTTTAAAGTTAAAACGCACTTTAATTTAGGAACGCAGCTTCAAAAATCCACGCTTGATATTCTAAACACGCCTGCGCCTGTGGCTCATAGTTTATTTTGATGATACTCTCAACAGGGTGCTGTGAAAGGTTTAGGGCACATACTTCAAAGACTTCAGGCACTCCAAATATTCATCAAGCAGGTCTGAATCAATTAGGCCTAATACAGCAAAAGCTATTAATGATCTGAATAGCATACGCCATCATCCGACGCTTAAAATAAACCTAGACTCGGGTTCAAAACGAACATCCATACCAGAACTAGCTTCAGCAGAGCTATGAAATATTTACAGTCCAGACTTTGTGACCTGGTGGCTTGAGAGAAAACATTTATGGCTTTGTTTTATCAAAAATTAAACACGCCTCAGAGAAAGGGTACACAGAGAACCTGAGCAAATATATACACTCCATTTCAATGAAGTAGCCGGGCCGTGAGTGAACCATAAGGCCAAAAACCATGCGCCAGACCCAAGTTAAACATGCCGATTATCCATTTAATCTGTCCTCTCGCTCTGAATATTTGTTTTAATTGAAACGTATTAAATCCTTCTGAAATACCCCAGCAGTTCTGTATGTTTAACTGAGTCACGCTGTACATATCAACGACTCGTCCCCCCGCCCACTCCTGTTCCCTTCTCTCGCCCGAGTCCTTTCATGTGAATTCCAGCCACACACACACACACATACACACAGACAGACGCACCGTCGGCGCGTGCACTGCATCATCGAGCAGTCGAGCGAGCCCGCCGCAGACGTAACCTTTATTCCTGCTATAGAGCCCTTAATTATCACCGCTCCGCAACCGGGGCGCTGCCAGACATGCACGGGCTCATTATGAACAGGGGCATATTATTTCACCTTGAAAAAAGCTATTAAAGCCAACTCTCGCTACCACCAGGAACGGTCGTGCTAAAATATTCATTCTGTTGAAGATCATTCCGAGTAATGGAAGCGAATTAGCTTTCTATTCCGATTCAAAGACTAGAGGCAACACCCTCAGGTACGGTCATTTTATTTGACCGAGGATGTTCGCTCAGGTCATGTGCCCTTCGTTTGAGGGCGCAGACAGAATGCGTGTTAGTCGCATTTCACAATCTGTAGCATCTGCTGCGTCGCCCCCCCTTTAAAGCCACAACACATGGTCTGAAATAGACCGCCTGACAGAGCCCAGCATCCCATAAACAATATCCACTCAACCGCAGTGGACACGCTGAGCACCGCTGTCGGCAGCCAGCAGACGTTATCTACAGATTTGTGTGTTTGCTAGAAAAATACTAGAGTTATCTTACTGAATGTTGCCTTTTGGCTCGAAAATGACATATTATTGAACAACCAAACCCCACATCGATGCAGACGTACAGTACAATGGATGACTAGCTGTTTATTGAGGTTGACTAGTTAGTCCAGATACTATATACTGTTTTAAAGGAGATGTATTAAGGAGCACACCTTCTCTAATGGGGTTTAACATGCTAGTAGTAGTTGCTTTAGAGTGCCAACAGTAATAGTAACTTAAATATCTCTCTCTTTTTCTAGTTTATAACATCTGCCACAGCCATCAAATCACCTTAAAAATGAATCTACATTGAACACAACATTTTAAGACTTTTAAGTTAAAGGCAGCTCACGTTTTGAAAACAAGGGCTGGGCGATATGGCCAAAAATAATATCATAATATATATATTTTTTCCATATAATATCAAATCATATGATATTGATATTTATCACAATATTCATTTAGTATTAATGTGGAAGGACAATCTTTCCACATATTTGTTAATTTGGGAATGAATGTGAACATTTTTGTCCACAAATAAACTCCAGAGTTGCTACCATTTAATTTAGGGACCATAACATCCATTTTATTCCCCCCCCTAAACTCTGTGTTTTGGGATTCTGTGAATTATGATTTATTTTAACAATTTAACCAAGCTTTTAAAATTGAATCTAAATCTAACAATTAATTTACAACATAACATTGATTAAAAATATCTTGGTTGTGTGATATTCCTTAGAAATAATAATATTATATCATTACTTAGTACATTTTAGTATAAAATTATGATACATTTCTGTCATAATTTCTTGACGTTAAACCAAACTTTTATTTTGAAAAGTTTTTGTGAAGATCTTTTAATTTCAGTGTGTATTTGACGGTAGTTTTTCTCAGATGATACAGTAAAAAGCTTGTTAAGTGACTCTCAAAGCAGGTCTGGAGATAAAGTCAAGCGGTAAAAACACATCACGTGTGTGTGGATATAACCGTGCTGACATGCAAAAATCACTTGTTAGAGACATGAACTGGCTGGCTGTTTATTAGAGACATGCACTGGCTGGCTGTTGAGGCATTGATTTCTGCTGTGTTTTGTCATATCGAGTAAAAATATCCAGAGCTTATCATCATTATCATGTAAATGACAATGTTATCACGATATGATATTGTTTATTATCACCCAGCCCTATCTTAATCCTTTTTATTGAGCAGTTAACATATGCTGTATGAAAATCCTCTAGAAAAAGTGTCTGATTGAGTCTGGTGGATGTTTTTTATTACATCCTATTTTTTTTTTTTAAATTATTATTATTTAAAGTCGTTCCAAACTTGAATTACTCTCTTTCTTTTGTGGAACACGGAAGATACATATTTTAACATAAAAAAGTGTGATATTTCTAAATATCTTATTTTGTGTTTAACAGAAGAAAGATGAGTAAATGATGACATAATTAATTTTTGGGTGAACTACCCCTTTAAGACATCAGTACACTAGTCAACCCTTCAAAAATAGTTTGAAGCCTGTCAAAACCCTTACTAAAGAGTTAAAAACAGTTAACAATACTGTATGTGATTGCTTCTGATGATACGCAATTGAACATTTTACATTTCATCTAAACAAAAGTTAATTGCGGATCGTACCGTCGCACCTGCCTAACAATTTATTTGCTCAGCAAAAGAGCAACTTTCAGAAACCCCTATTAATCTCATTTGCTCTGTCCTCTTGAAAGACACGAAAGATTGAACAACACCGATCTGAGATGTGGAGAAATACCTGGTAAATGGAACAATAAGAGGAAAATCAATACTTCTCGTCTTGATCCCAGTCATTGTCAAAGCAAATCCAAATAGACACAAATAAAATCATGACCAG